CATTGAAAATATTAGATCAGAGCAGAGAAATTTACAACGTACCTCATATAATTATCACCACAGCCGACGTCAACTACGAGCCGTGAACAAAGAAATCTGGCAAACGTAGGTGGTAGTTTTACTCCCGCCGCTCAAAACGCTGAGAAAAACATAACCTTTTCAATTTGTGATTTTGGAATCGCAGAGGCTGTAATTAAGAGATAAGCTTGTTTTCTAAGCTTCAAAGTGTGTGTATGTGTTCAAAGTGATCGGTGACTATAATTTATGAGAAATAGACTCCAGTAGTAGTGCTTCTGTGCTTTAAAAATAAACTAAGAAGTGTGACTGTGGCTGTTGGCGCCTCAGGACACTAAAGGCCGCTGCACAATTGCCCGGTAACGGGAACGAGAACGCAAACGGAAACGAGAACGGGAACGAGAGACTTCGGCAGATGGACAATTAACGGGAGCACATCGGAAGCAGTTGACAACTATGACAGAATTTTTGTACCTAACCTTACTTTATGCAATTTGACAGTTCCTCGCTGCTCGTAAACAGTTGTGGTAAAAAATAGTTGATTTTTTTATTTTTAGACTATTTATCCAAAAAAAAAATGGATTTTGACGAACGTTTTCTCTTTCTGTCCTTTCTTTTTTGGAATGTGGTCTTTTTGTATCTAATGACACAAGAAAATAGAAGGTAGGCCAAATTTGAAAAAACAATGAATCACATACTAATTGGAATTTGTATATTTTATAGATGGTGGGTCAACCAATATTCAGAGAAAGGAATGAGAAAGGGGCTTTTCGAATATTTTTACCTATATGAAAACAAAGGATCCTGAAATATTTTTAAGTATACAAGAATGCTACCAGATCAGTTTGACAGTACCTGTGTCTCCTTAAGCCAAAACTACTAAACATAGTAGGAGAGAATATTTAAGCCCTGCATTAAAGTTGGCTATGACTTTGAAGTTTCTGGCTCATGGAGGATCATTTCAAAGTTTGTCATGGGAATTCCGCGTTGGACATTCAACTGTTTCAAAAGTGATCTTGAAACATGCACCGCAATTTGGGATACAATGCAACCTATTTACTTGAAATCCCCTACTGAACAAGAGTGGATTAATATCAGCCACCAGTTTTCAAATAGATGGAATTTTCCACATACACTTGGGGCCATTGATGGAAAACATGTTCACATTCAATGCCCATTGAATAGTGGGTCATTGTATTATAATTATAAAAACCACTTTGCATTATCTTACTAGCATGCTGTGATGCTGATTATAAATTTATTTGGGCAGATATTGGTGCGTATGGCTCTGAACATGATGCTAGTGTATTTCGGAGATCTCAGATGGGAAAACAGTTAGATGAAGGATCAGTTCAGTTGCCAAAGGTAGATCAATTGCCAAGTAGCAATGTTGAAATGCCCTATTTTTTTGTTGGCGACGAAGCTTTCCCTTTGAAACCATATCTAATGAGGCCATATCCAGGGAGGCAACTAA